AAGTGGCGTATGAATCAATTGTTGGTCACCGGCTACCATGGGACTGCATCTCCTTACGTTGCTCCACTGCCTTGTGGATCAGACTTTCAGGTCGAAGGCTCGGGGAGTGGCCCCCTTAGAAACCCACCTGTTTCGGTTTGGGCACCCGGGCAGTATCACATCCCTCATATATATCGAATGAGATTTGTGTGGCGCATATGTATTTGGTACTTCATTGTACCAATGTTTATGTGTTAAAATAAATAATACTAATAATAACTTTTTTAAATTCTATATGATAAGGTCATATAAAAAGGTAAATACAACTGAATGTAACTAAAAGACGATCTGTTATCTAATGTTAAGCTTTTTGTGTTGTATATGTGATAAAACATAATTCCATTGTTAAGTAGTGGTTAAAAGCAATCGGAATGGAAACCCTAGTTGATCTAAGTTTCATGTTAGCTACCGCTTTTTAGTACGATGCACCTAAAATTTCAAAGAAAATTAATTGTGCCTGTGAAATTCAAATTCTATTTCTAACCTATGAATTATTCTACATTCTTGCTGATATATGGATTCAAGACAGTTGTAAAGTGAAATATTAACTGAATCAGTCAATAATCATTGTCATATGTGCATAGATAGAAATTCTAAAGAAAATTATAGATAAAATCTAATTGAGAAGTCTTAATGGTTTTATTCGTCATGTCATCCAATCGGTAAGTTTATTATTTATTAACCTTTGATTACTTCTAGGCTCAATCTACATGGTTTTTTGTTAGGTTAACATCATTTAGTTGAAGCCAGAATGAAATTTAACTTTAAACACTGTTGTACTTTTGTATTTTAGGCTGCACCTGTAGGTATCAGCTCACTTGCAAACGCTGCACCTTCTCGTACATCTACTAACCGCCTGCCACCCCAACCATCATCACCACCACCCCAATCTCGACAAATTCGACCTCCTGGTGTTCCTATATTGCATCGTCATACGTCTCCTATTGATACTAACCAACATTCTACTGTTGGCACTAATATTATTAACATGCCTATGACACAGACTCAAGTTCGTTTACAGGCAGAAGCCGCAGCGGCTGCATTGGAAATACGTGAGCGACGAAGAGCGGCGGCTGAAGCGGCGAACAAGAATAGACGACCACGTCGACGTAAACGAACAGATTTGGAAAGCATACCTGTGCGTGGAAGACCGACTTATAGGCGAAAATCATTTTCAGCCTCTTCAGAGGCATCTGGCAGTTCTAGCTCTTCTAATTCTTCCAGATCACCATCTAGTGGACGTTCTCGTTCTGACTCAGGTAGACCTGCTGCAGTTCGACATAATCCTGCAGGTCGTCAAGCACCACTCACTAAACATGACCAAGAGGGTGTCCGCCCAAGTGGTCGTAAACGTGTTCGTCAAGATACGCAACGTACAAGCCTAAAAGAGATTGATGAGAATACAACACGTCGACATGTAGGACGTAGCATGCTACCAAACAGTATTGATCCTCGTGAACCATTAGAATACGTTCGATATACTAAGCAATCAGATTTTAATGAACGTTCTACGCATAGAACACGTGGGACAGATCAATTTATTCAGAAACCTATACAACCTATGAAACGATCCTATCCCTCTGGTTAGTTTATTTTACTAATATTCTATAAACAATTAATTGGTATGTGTTGATAAGAATGAGGTAATTAGATTAAAAATAGTATGCAGTAATTTGTAGTATAAAATTAACCAGCTTCACCCTGTGTATGGTTTTTTAATAAGACTGGGACATGATAAATTTAGCTGTCATAGAATATGAGCTTTCTCAACCAGCAACACTGTTCTATTTGTTTTGATGCCAGGACTGTATGAGAAATTACAAGAGGAATAGCATATTTGATTCAGTTTGTTTTATGTAATGTGTTTAATGTCAGTCAGTTTCCTAGAGCAGGAATGTCCATTGCACTCCGGTCTGTATCAAAACCAACCAGTTTATTAAGTAATTCACCATTATTGTCTTACTAATCTTCTCTTAACTACGAAGTTTGCACTGTCATACATACACCTCAAGGCCAGCATTCAATAGCTCGATGGACTTATTCAACAGTATATGTTCATGTTCCACTTCTCACCAACGCACTCTTTTTGCTGGTTCAGCATAGCGCGTCGCGTCGGAGTCGTATGTCATACGTAACGTATATACCAACCACCTCAGTAATATAAGGCCTCGTCAATTTGCCCTTACTGCTACATAGTCAACTTCACCATTGCCCAGTTGATTACTTGTGTCGTATATGAGTAGTGATGGTTCGAATATACCTATGATCAAGTACTTGCAATCCATTCAAGTCTTCCACTTTCAATGGTCTTGTTTCACAGCTATAAACCAATACAGATTGAACTATTGCGTAGTTTATTAGTCCTTTTATTGATAAACAATCTAGCTTGTGGTACAACGGGTGTGTTTGAAGGGACTGGGCGAGATGATTTCATCTGTTTCGAAATTTTGTAACTCATGGGCCCACCGAAGGTGGATGAAAGTAATAAGATAAACGGCAGAAATTAATATGACTTCTGAGCAGTCCATATTCACAGGATAATAAAGCAAGTTTCGTTCTTTTGACCCTTATTCTATTTAAATCATGAATACTAGCATACTGAAGCTCAACGATTCACAATTTCACTCTTTTCTCTCTAATCTTCCTGTTGTCTTGCTTTTCTTTTTTGTGGTATTTAGAACTTTAATTCTGTCTAATCGAGCTTTTCGCCTCACTGTAAGGTATTTAGACGATATCATCCATGTTAACTATCCAGCCGGTCTTAATTATCATAATCATTCATTACCTGCTTTCTATAAAATAATCCTATAATCTGATATTATTTTTCAGGCGTCGAGGAAATGCCAGTACGGCAACGTCCGGAACGAGATTCACGTCTGCCTGGTGCTCACTATCCAAATCAGTCTGTTGACGAACTGCACAGAGTTGTCAATCCTGAGAGTAGGCGTACTGCCGTTAGTCAGTTCAATATGCCAACTAAGGAGAGGATAATTAGACCGAGAACACCTCATGGTTTAGAAATGATTGATTTCAGGAGCCGATCACCTCATGCAGATGTCGATATATTGCCTAAAATTATTCGCCTTGATCGCGAGCAATATCGCAGAGTTAACTACGACGTACCAGATGTCAGTGTTTGCGAAAAATCATCAGCTGATTTAACAATGGTTGACTCTACAGATAGTTTTGGTGCTAAACGTGCTCGTAGTCGTCATCGTAGTAGAGGACCTGGTGTAACTATTGATCGGTCTGAACCATTTGAGTCAGATACAGGAAGTTTTGCTGCAGAACAACGTCTAAGAAAACTTCGCGAGCGTTTGAACTTAGTTGATGATGCAATCGCAGAAATTAAAGCCGGTACTGGGGCACAATCCAATTTTAATTTTGGCGATATTCGAAGATGATAAAGACTACCATAGTTATTAATCAAATCATCAACATGTACATTGTTGTCTCCATTTTATTTCTTTCTGCACAAAAGACAACTCGCTATATTTATTCCCTTCCCCGATCTTGTCTAAGTCAATTGTTTGTATCGTGTTTTTCCTATCAATTATAGTCAGTTTTATCTGATATACCACTGTCTAACTACCATCTTTAATGGCATAAAATTAAGACCCGTTGCATTGGATGAAACAGTTTTCGTGATACCTGTCCTTGACTTGTGTAATAATCATTCTTATCAACGCATGTGGTGATGTAAGTGTAACCAATAGCTACGATCAATGTCGTTTTAATTTCTAGTGCAACTCAGTAAATAATGCTCGAGTTTGTATATGAGGACTTGTTACCAATCTGTTTCCTAAGCCAAAGTATATTTAGGGTGATCATAACCTACCATTTGGAATCCGAGTTTTGACGATTATCTTTGTACTTCACGTAGGTAAAATAACGATAACAATTCGAATTAAGATAGAACCCCAATTCTATGACTCGACAGCTAAGAAGCACTACAGAATTAGCTTATTAAAAGGCTGAACGAATGAAAAGTGAAAGGCACACAGTAGTACGGTAACAGGGCAGTTTATGTTGGTGATGTGTGTGTGTAAGTAGACTATCCTAAGCATCATAGCTACAGATGCATACCAACTCCCCTTCTATTTCATGCACGTTATGGTTGAAGTAAAAGGGACAGTCCTACATTCTTTAGTAGTGGTTTGTATTCGGTGACGCGCAAAAGACCACTAGATATGTTGCGTACATGTTGTATTTGATAGTGTCTCAAGATACGTAATATCACTATGCATGTGTACGTTACATGATGCAAACAGAACACTCTTCAGATATAAAAAGGTTAACATCAAGGCACACCTAAATATCAAACAATATAACAGGAATCACCAGACTTCTCTTCAAATCACGTCAAGAACTAGTCCGGATCAGTCTGCTGCCGGGATGTTGATATTACCTTCTAAAAGAGCGTGTGCCAGTCTAGGCAGTCGACATACTTGACGAACTGTCTTGAAAAAGTCTTTTTCTTGGACTATTTGATCAAATCAGAAAAGATATACCTACATCTTATAAATCTGTAGTTTTCAGGGGATTAGACCCATTATGTATTGAATATGATGCTTTCCGCTATTCGGAATAAAAAGCCGTTGCTTAGTTATACAAAGAAGCCTTAAAATCGATTGAGTAGTGACGAAGATTGTGTTTGTTTAGTTCCTCTGATCGAGTCCTATCGATCAATTTGCAATATGGCTCCTGGCATAAATGACTCAAAACTGAGTCCACTACGTTGAGATATAAAGTAATGGTAAGAGGCAGTCAACATGAAACCCTCGACCTATATTTTGCGCTACTTGGCATTTGTCAGGTATACGTACACGTAATGTTGAGGAGACTGATGCCCCCTGGCGGGTTCCCAACCTACTCGATAGAATTCGATCAGAACTGATACTAGGCATTGCCCCGTCATCAATCAATCGTGAATACATCTCCGGGTCCTAAACAGCACGAAACGTTGGTCAGTGGCTTTTTGTCAATTACATTTAACCACCACTCTACACAGAGAAGAGGTTAACTGAAAGTATTTGGTGGTGGATTTACGGACTAGTTTCTTTATATTGTATTGTGTCTGAATGAGCTATTATAATATGCTACTTACTGTGCCAAATACAGTCTAACGGAAACCCGGTGTTTAATGCCGATATTAGGAAGTGAATAAACATTTCTTATCAGAGATTACATTACCATAATGGACTCTGAAGTCTACATTCAATATTTATAGATGGTTTATACAATTGTCACAAATGTGAAATTTGTTTTTATTCATAAAGATGATCAAAGTTTGATTCATGAAAAATAATCGTTTTTTTACATTCAGTGCATTAAAACGACTAAAAGTTCTACTCAACATATTTGGAGCAAATTTCCAAAAGCAAGTAGTCATTCCTAGTCAAGTACTTATTTGAGTGAAACCAAGTAACTACTGACTACCAAATATATCCGCAACTAAATACGTGCTTCAGTTGTTGACTGATTTACCAGGCACAGATGAATGTATTTAGCTTTGAACAGCACTCAGAATGCGAAGGCTGATTGTTTTATTCGTTTGACCAACCGATGTAAATCAAGAGTGGTTCGGATGCCATAACGACTTAAACACCGCTCTATTATCATGCTACTCGGTGGTTAAAAACATTGCGTCTGGAATAAGTCAACCTGGCCGAACAGTAAATAGAGGAACCATATGTCTGCAGACGACTGCTGATTGCTCCCAAAGCAATTACTTTAGAAACAGTTCTCACTTACTAAGGAGCTGTACAATTTTGTTTTCCATCACTACGCACCATAACAAGCAGAAGGCACATATATTGACTAGAAGATGAGTTAATGAGCATTGAAACACTTATGAAGTAATGAATGAATATATTTCAAACTATACAATCACAACTCGTTCCTATGTAAAGTTGTTGTTAGGACTGCTTTGAACTTAGAAGCTCACGCAACGCCTCTTTAGACTCGCTTAACTCATTATTTACTGTGTCTCGGGCTTTCTATAGCAACGTAATTATTAAAGGCAATCTTACCTGAGAAATATCAATAGAATCAGTGACCTTGTCTCTGTCCTTCTTTATATCTTCAATTAGAGTTTCCCTAGTCTTCTTGATGAACCTTCACATATTTAATAGTATACTTTTAGGCAAATTACATTCTCCCACATGCTTTGTAAGTAGCTACATCTTCAGGCAAGGTAACTAATTCACTCTCAATTAATTGTGACCGCCTGAACTTTATGTTAAGCGACTCTATTTGAGAATTTAACACGCTAATTTGTTGGTTCGCCATAACAGTTTTCTGTCTGTGTGCTTCAATAGCCTTTAAAGAAGATGAGATAGTTTTAGTCAATACCTTTTTAACATCTGGATCCGACATTACCAGATGGGTGAACTGGAAGCAAAATCTCCGCAAAGTTCTCTAGGTCAGTTCAATAGACAATACCGCACTACGCAAACTATATTTTGTGTCACGGGATGACTACCCGTCCAAGATCTAACTAATATATTACAAAATTTTCTGTGAATTTTAATCTCTAATTTGTCTAGCACAATTAGTAGACTGTTCGTTTTGAAGTGTCTATGTCCATGTTGTAGCAAAGTACATATGATCATGTAGAAGAGTGATACTTGTTATATTAATTATATAAAACGAAGGACAGAACTAAGTTAGTTGTCGAACCTTCTCTCAGATGATTCACCTGGGTGTGACGTCACAACAGCTTCCTCAAGTGAGTACTATAAATTAGAGATTCGGTTGGCGAAAAAATTTACACAGATTTTTGTACGGTTTTTTTTCATGTTCTATCTAAAGTGAATTAAAAAGGACACGGGTATTGGGAGTTTGATGAATCTTTCTTCCGTAACGCCTTTATAATTGGAAGATATCAACCTAGTCAAATAAGTAGTCGGTGAATAATGTTCGAAGATATATTTGGAAACTTGCCCATGTCTTGAGAATCGTTTGATTTAAGCTGGTTAGTAGTTGCAAGGGACGCGTAGTACGGCATACCCACTGGTGGCTTGGTGTGCATTTGTAACTGATTGCCTTCAGCCACAGTGTGTCCAGTCAAACTAATGAGGCTGGCATCAACGTCGTAGACTTACAGAACTATTTCTTTTGGGAATTTATTTACTGCAACAACTCACTCGTTTCATTATCTCCAAGATAAGGCCAGCCAGACTATTATATCGAACGAACATTCCGTTGGTAACCGCTACTCTTACAGTTTTCTCTATCCAGCAGCATGTGGTCAACGTTCCATAATATAAGTAGTCATATGCTGATAATAATATCTTTCTGCAATGGCTGATGCATGCCATTTTTACAGGAATGATATACATATTACAACATTTGTTGGTTCACGGAATGCTTCCCAAGTTGGATCGTTAAATAGATCAAATCAATGAAAGTGAATATCAGTATATTCGTGCAGATATCATGGTGCGTTACTGATCAGGTTTATGCTTTAGTATTACACTGAGTACAGTCTTAAAAATATTTTCCAAAGTGGTGTCGCGCCCAGGTTACACGCTAGATCCAATCTCGACATAACTGCGTTGGAATTCTGGCCATGTTAATAATTTGTGTAATGAACTTTTTAAGCTTATGGCTATTATGAATTAGATTTGTAGAACGCGTGGTGTGAACTATGGAATAAACATGATATGCGCGTTTTCTCAAGGTCAGACGTCAGAAGTTCCATAGCCGTGCCCCCAAAGCAAGATTCTGAAAGAAAGAGAAATGTAGGAGCAGAAACACACTTGAATATGAACGATCAACAATGCTTAACATTTTGTAGCGGAACAGACAGAGGCATGATAAATTATTAGAATAAATTCATACTAGCTAGAGTAAAATGTGATTGGAGACTCCAGATGAGAGAATGCAGTTATAAATAACAATGAATCGCAGTGTTTAACAAAGTGGAGTGGGTTCAAATGATGGGAGGGAAGTCGAAGTTGGAATAAAGAAAACTGTTTATTAGAATGGAAAGTACATCAAGAGAAATAAATGTTAAAAAACTACTAATTATATCTTTTATTTCTGACCTTCTTTTATTTTTTCAATCGATGCCAGCTACAAAGTCCTAGTGTAAAAGTCCGAGTTAGCATGTTGTAGGTTGTCTTATTAGAATAGCTAATCCCGCATAAAATTGGAAACAGGAGTCTAAATGGTGGACGTAGGACAACAACCTCAATATCACAGATTGATTTACTTGTTCTCAAACATAAAGAGCCTGATATAAGCGAAATGTTGTGTTCCACAAACACAGGTGGGTCGAAGTGACCACTCTTACCATTAATGCTTGCTGGTCAGTAACTTCACCCTCCCTCCTTTTGTGATGTTAGCCTTATTTAAGCTCTCCTCGGATATATATCACGCCTCATACGATGATCTGTGTTTCACACACTGTTGCAAAACATTATTTCTATAAGAACCATTTCACAAACTTATCAAGCATTCACGAATTATGGACTATGGGTTAGGCATCGATACAATGTTTTAACTGACTATAGTATGTTTCCAATCAGAATATAGGCTTATGAAGAAGTGTATATTGTAGGATAGTTGTTTACCAAAGTAGGCAGAAAAGTAGATAAGGTAACGAGTGTCGAAATAAAATTAATGGCAAGTCAACGTAGTGTACAACAGTGTAAAAATCTGATAATGAATAGGCAAGAAGGAATTCATGTTAACTTGGTGATATTGCTATTTTATGCTATCCTAACCGGTTGATGGGTTGTAGGCTCCATAGATGCAGGACCACTGGTAGCGGGCGGTCAATTGTGCGGTTCTCTTGACTTTTTATGGTGGTAGAGAGCGTCCCTTAGCAACCAAGTTTAGTTGAGCAGCATCGATAGGCCCAGTGATTTACCTGTCTACTCCAAGCAAGAAAATAAGGAAGGGAAAGTATCCAACTCAACTGAACAGTAGAAAAGTGAGACAAACCGAACTTATAATCTTGTTTAGTCTATACTTGTAGAGATCCTATGACATCTGAGTGGGACCCAGATGTGTTCGATCGTGCTAGACCAGTGCAAGCGAAGGCTCGATCTCTAAGTCTTACAAATGTATGTAATTTATCTGCCATGCGTATTTTAGAGGGAAGACTGTTCCATATTAATGCACACTCCATGAAAGAGTTTACAAGTTTTTTATTTGTGTTTCTCAACTTTAACCGTAGATACCTTGTCCCGAGTGTCGTTTTCATGTGATTCTTGGGCAAGAACTATATTACATGCGGAAAAAGTAAGGTTTTTGGAGGGTTTGAAGTAGAGAATCAAATTAGACCTAAGCTCTCTTTTCAAAGAGGCTTCTGGTCCTATGATATGGCTTCGGGAACAGTAGGTAATGAGTGAGTTGTTCTTAAGTATATTGCGGTTGAAATATCGTTGTATTACTTCCATCTTAAGTATATCGGATAGGCGTAGGTTGGAAAATAAGAACGAACAGTATTCAACGATAGGTACTATACAAAGTTTATAAAGAATGATTTTAGATTCATTTTAAAAGAAGTGGCGAAGAATGAAGTTAGGCAATTTCCTCATTTTAGATGCTTTGATTGCGGTTTGTTCAGATAAGTTAAGACTGTGTAAGTAATGCATCCGTGGGTCAGTTACCGATGTGAGTTTGGGAAGTGTGTTCTATTTGTCGGTTTTATCGTAAGAGACGCATCATCATTACATAGCCAGACACACTTCTCTCTGTCGAGCTTCAAATTCCAGTGTTTGCATCAGTAGTCTACCTTGTTGAGTTCATGTTGGATTACTTGAATAGTACTACGTACGTCGCAAATGTCAGTTTTATAGATTACTTTTAAGTCATCAGCGCGAAGATAGGTCTTACCTGTGTTCAAACACTTGCATGCACTGCTGATGTAAATTGTAAAAGAAAATGGACCCAAGACACTGTAGAATTATGGTCTACTATGATATTAGTACTGCTCTTATAATAGACCTAATCCTAAATTTGTAGATTTCTCATGATATAACTGCCTAACCTATAAGATCTTACGTGGAAGTCACACCATCGTCTACACCAACTCACTGTATCGTATCAATTACCAAAACATGATGTAGAACAAGGTTAGGCTAGAGAAGGAACAATATATTTAATATGAATAGAAGATATAAGGTAACATTCAGCAGAGACCACGCCTGCATGGCCGAGCCATGCCGTTCGATCAACTCCAGTCCATTCAATTCATTCTCCGCGCCTTCTCCATTGTTAGGTATTTCCCCGAGTTAAATATTGAATATCTATTTTCTGAGTAGTCTCGTGTTCACAGCTTTGTGGATTGTGTGGCTATTGTCCAATGCCACTACAACACTACACTGCACAACACCTCTAGTTATTGGTGGGTTGTAGATGTTGCAGAATTAATTTTGGTCATTTGGTATCTGATTGTGAGAAAAAACTTGATCCATTGCAATAAGGAGTTTGTAATTCCAACGAGGCTGCATAACCTCGTTAAAGAGGTCATGTCTTACAACATAACAAAAAAATGTACATTCACAATTTCGGCGCATCCCACTCCTTGTCTACACTACATCTCTCCCAGTCGTTCCGATAGAGAAAAAATGAAAGACTAAGTACATGTCAAGCCACACTGTTACTCGTGTAAGGAAGAAAAACGTGCAAACAAAAAACCGGTATATATGAGCATATAGAACAAGGGTCTGCGTAAAAAATTTTAACCCAAACGGGATTTTTCGGAATTTTCAAGTGAAAAATCATTACACACATATGTAAACATATTGAGAAAAACAATATATCTGGACACGATTGTATAGAAAACCCGAGAATACAACCAAATAATCGTGGGACGCGATCAACAAGTTAAAATCCACAGTAGTCATTCAAGTTTACTGGAAACCATACCATTCTTCCAAATCGCGCTGTTTTAAGCCAATTCTTAGATCCTAGCAAAGTTTCGTCATAGGGTGGCATCATAGTCGCGAAGTTGGCACCGTTTGTTTGTTCTTCAGGAATTCCGACATAAATAGAGTTCACGCCTAAGTAGGTGAACTTAAGATAGTCGGTGATATCGTACTTAGGTTCACACTGAAGATTTTTAAAGGGTCTTTCGTATGTATTTTCAAAAGGCCGTCGAAACGAGTCACGAGGTAGAAAGAAGTGTGTAGTATATCGTAGGGCAGGTTGAACAAAACATTAGTTGACTGACGTCGAATGGAAAAACTTCAACTGAACGCATATCTTTTGTGGGCTTGCTCGTGTAAGAGTTCAGATCCATATTTGTTGTAGTACAGTGTCTAACATCATGCTTCATTACACTGTGAATGCTGACTAAAACAAGTGAAAGAGAGTCAATCCACTGTGAAACGATTGCAGCTGAGAATGAAGCTTTGAACTGTTGATGAAATCGTTCTGCAAATCCGGTAACTTGTGAGTGGTAGGTTGTCGTTCAGTCT